CCAGGGCCTTCTGGATGAGTTCCCATTAAATGGGTGACCTTGGTTAGAGGAGATTGCCCTCGGAGATGTGGGTGGGCTGTGTGTAATCAGGAGAGACCTGAGCAGAGGAGAAGAGGGGCCCTCAGCAGTGGACGTGAGACAGGGAACATGGGCAGTCAGTACAACCACACATGGGGATTTAGAGAGCTGGCCATCAAACAGCAAAATGGACAGAATGAAGCTCTTCTTGGCTGAAAAACAAGTGGCAGCATTTGGGTGGCGGGTTGGCCATGAGCACACGTGACGAGGCGTCTAGCATGCTCCTCGGCCCTCACTCATGGGATCGTGGTGTGGCAGAGGTAACATGGGGCACTGGACAACCTTGTGCCATTCTCAGTGACCGCTGGGGCCGGGGGACGTGCTCTCTCTTTCTGTCCTGGTTGTGTTGGCAGTACTGGGGATCAAACTCGAGACCTCTGCACTGAGCCACATCCCCATCCCTTTTGATTATTTTGAAACTGGCTCTTGCTAAGTTGCCCAGGCTGGGCTCAAACTTGTGATCATCCTGCCTCAGCCTCCTAGAGTACTGGGATTACTGGCTTGCACCAACATGCCAGGTATAAAAAAACCTCTCTTCTCAGAGTTACGGCATTGTAGTGAGAGTAATCAACTGCAGTGCAGTTTGATCTACAACTGTATTAACGTGTTGCTTTCACAGGGACCATGGGAAACCTGGTAACTTCTGAATTTGTCCTTACTCTTCTCTACGGCTACGGATGTTGGAGCTCTTCCCCAGCCGTGCCGAGGGTGTCATGGAGCCTCAGTGCCGTGGGCAGCATCTGGAATTTCCCAGGACTTGGAGTTCACTGGGAAGCCCCCTTTCTCCCTTCCCCTCTCACTTGCTCTGATCTCAGCGGTCTCTGCCTAGGGCTTTGCTTGCTCCACTCCAACTCCTCTCCTGACCTCTGCTCCCTAGGCAGAGGGAAGCTCTGGGATTCATCCTGTCATTCTGTCTCAGTCACTTTCCTGTCTCTGGGTTAAAGTACCCGACACCCCCACCCTGAGGAGGAGGTGTACTGTGACTCCAGCCGAAATCCCTGGGCAGCCGGCTCCAAGGCAGGAAGGGTCCAGGGTAGGAGAGCGGCTCACCTCATGGCAGACAGGAAGCAGAGAGAGCGAGGCACTGGGATAAGGACACGCCTCCGGCCACACTGCTGCCCAACAGCACCATCGGTCTGACCTCACCCACAGAGGAACCCACGCAGAACAGCGCCTTGTGACCCGGTCACCTCTCAGGACACGAGACTTCTGGGGACCCTCAGCTCTCCACCATCGTGTCCTCGGGAGAGACTGGCTTCCACGGCTTCGGAGACGAGGTCCCAGCCCTGGTGGCAAGCCTCGAGCTCCAGTGGCCCGTCCTGCGCTGTTTGGCTCCTGTCCGGCCCTCTCTGTCGGTGTGACCAGCTGATGCTCCCTGTGAGGGGCTCGGCCTGGCCGTGAGTGTCCTCCTGAGTCGCTGGGTTAAAGGGAAGAAGGACAGCCCTTCTTCACTCACTCTTGGCGGTCTCTGCTCAGGACACATTCTCTCCCCGCTTCATTCCCAAAGCAACCGAAGGGTCCCAGGGCTGGAGCACTTGTCACGCGGCCACAAAATTACTAATTAGAAGCTTCTGGCATTTCCATCCTGGTCCCTGGCAATCCCACACGACTGAGAGCCACTACTCTTTGCAGTACATTTGTAACTGGTCAGTATCATCCAATGTCTTTCTTTTTTTTTCCTTGAAGTTGAGGCATTTCTGCCAGGCGTGGTGGTGCACGCATGTAATCCCAGCACTCGGGAGGCTGAGGCAGGAGGATCACTGTGAGTTCGAGGCCAGCCTGGGCTACAAAGTGAGCTCAAGGCTGGCTTGAACTGAATAGCAAGACCTTGTCTCAAAAAACAAAAAAAAAAAAAAAAAAAAAAAAAAAAAGAAGAAGAAGTTGAGGCATTTCAGGCCCTTGGCAGGAATAAAGGAGCTTGTTCAAACCTTACTGTATATTACGCATGCTTCCTTTTATGATTGCATTCAGAGAAGTGTGCTAATGGTTCGGTAAGCTCGGAGCCCTTGGCCACATGCGTTCTCTTGGGAGGGCGGGGAAGGGCGGTCACTGCAACTCCAGTCGGTGAGGGAAGGGGAGGCACACTTCCTGTGCGGCTGTGATGTCACAGGAAGAAGGAAGCAGGAAACTTCCAGCGGGAGTCAAGAAAGAGTCAGCACTGCTCTAAGCAGAAGGCTCCGCATGCACTGGAGCCCCAGCTGCCTTCTGTGCCTCGGGAGAGCACCTCACAGGCGATGCGGAGACTGTGTCCTCTGCCGTTCCCCCTTAGGCCTTGGGAAGGATGCTCGCCCGCCCTTCTGGACCTTCTCTCTTGGGGGAGGCCGCCCGTGACGGCAGGAGTGGGAAGCGGGAGAGAGCTCGGGCCTCCGCCAGCCAGGCCGGCTTCTTTGGCAGAAGTTTCCATCTCAGAGGCCCCTCCCAGGTCCTGTCCAGCAGCCCCTGCTGTGTGCAGAGCCCTGCGGCCATGTGCCCGTCCTCCGGTCCTCCTTCCGAAGGGTATGGTGCCTCCTGGTTGCCGGCCCACGTCCGTCAAAGGCCCCCTTGCAGGCTTCCTGGACCTGGCCTCCTCTCGGTGATAATCGGTGTGGACGCGGCTTCTTGTCCCCATCTGAGCCCGCCGTGTTTCTGGGACTCAGGCAGAAGGAGCATGGAAGATGGGTCTACCTGAAAGGCACAGCTCCAGGGCCCCGGGGCTTAGAGACCGCTCACTGTCTTAGAGACCGCTCACTGTCTTAGAGACCACTCACTGTCTTAGAGACCGCTCACTGTCTTGGTGACCGCTCACTGTCTTAGAGACTGCTCACTGTCTTGGTGACCGCTCACTGTCTTGGTGACCGCTCACTGTCTTAGAGACCGCTCACTGTCTTAGAGACCGCTCACTGTCTTGGTGACCTTCCTGTCCAAACGCTCACCAGACATGAGGTAAAGGAGCAGAGGGTTGTTGTGGCTCGGTTTCAGGCTGTGCTCGGCTGGCTCCAAGGCAGAAGCAGCACTGTGGAGGCAAAAGTGCTCACCTCATGGCAGCAGGAAGCGGAGACAAGGAGGACCTGAGGACAAGAACGCGCCCTTCCCGGGCACAGCCCAGTGAGCCCTCCAGCCAGGCCCCTTCCTACCACTCAGGCAGCTCTGGACTCGCCCGTGATGGATCCCTGGATGCTCACAGCTACCGCGAACCATCACCCTCCACACACAGGCGGCTCTGGGGCCTTCCAGCTGGGCACCGTGTCACCCACGCCGGGCTCCTTGCTTTGCGAGGCAGTGAGAGCAGCCCATGGCCCGGGGACAGCCTGCCCACCCCACCCCAGGCAGCCACTGACCATTACCCAGAGTCCAGGCCGGGTGTCCTGCTGGCTGCCACCGTGGGCCCAGGAGCCCTGACAGTGGCGGCAGCTGGGGTCCTGCGGTGAGGACTGGAAGCCCCTCGAGATCCCGAGCAGAGCCCCGCCTCCCCCAGCAATGCCTGGGACACAGGGCGCACCTGGCACTGACCCAGCTGTGGCTCGTGCCCAGGCCCTGCCCAGTGAGTCCCCAGAGCCCAGGCCCTAACAGCAAGTCCAAGGGCACTGCGGCAGCAACTGGTTTCCCCTGCCCAGCCCCGCATGCTAGCCCAGCCAACTCTGGGTTGTCACCACTGCACCCTACCTGCCTGGCTTGGCCCTGGAGACGTCCAGGTCCCTGCTGGCCACCGGGTCCCTGCTGCTGTGGCCCTCCTGGACATGGAGCTGGCTTGCCGGACAGCACCGTGCTCCCTGTGCCTGGGCAGTTGTCCCAGAGCTTCGGCTGAGCTCAGCTGCAAGCTCAGAATTTCCTGCTGGCCTTGGTGCAACTCAGTTCCGTCCCACACAGCCTGTCATTCGCCCATGCCCCCTGCCCGAAGCTCCCCACGAATACCGCGCGGCCCGTGGAGCTCAGTAATGGGCAGAGCCCCTTCCACAGGGCAGTGGCTGGTTACAGAGGCCCCTGGGCTTTGCAGGATGAACAGGAGCTCTACACGAGACATGGTGGGGTGAATCCGCAGAGTGCATCTGAGGAAAGCAAGTTCAGCACTCGTGGGGGAAACGAGGACCACGAAGCTGAGCCGCAGCAGCAGCTGAGCGACTCGAAGGCCCACCTAGGCCGCAGGCTCGCTGCCCCTTGCCATGCCCCTCGGGCAGGGTTGTTGCCTTGCCTGGGTGGATCCTTCCGCCAGGGTCAGCTCCTCTTCAGTCTGCCTGTGCAGTAGCCTGAAGTCACAGAACAACCCCTAGGAAGCGGCACGGCAGCACATGCCTGTCATCCCAGCACTCAGGAGGCTGAAGCAGGAGGATCTCAGGGTTCAGCCCAGTCTGGGTAACTTAGCAACTTAGCAAAAACCCATCTCAAAAGTTTAAAAAAGGGCTGGGGATGTCACTCAGGGTGAAGGTCCCAGCTTCAATCCCATGAATGAATGAATGAGTGACTGAATAAAAAATAATCCCATGGAGGCTGCATGTTGCGGGGGGGTACTGGGGCAGAGGCTGCTGATCCCTGGTGACTCAGGAGTCCAGGCCTGGGGGCCGGAGCGAGGTGCCTGTGTGGCCACCACCAGGACCAGCGTCTTGCGCAGACACTTGTCTCTGGCCCGGTCCACACGCAGGTCTGGGGAAGCATGGCAGCCACGGTGTGGTTCTCTTCTCTGTGTGGGGGCTCTCTGCAAAGGAACGTGGGCTGCTCTTATTTTTTCCCGTACCGGGGACTGAACCCAGGGTCTTCGCACTGAGCAACATTCCCAGCCCTTTTTATTTTTTATTTTGAGAGGGTTTTGCTAATTTGCCCAGGCTAAGCTCAAACTTGCAGTTTTCCTGCCTCAGCCTCCCCGAGCGCTTGCTGCTTGACTACATGAACACTCCTCCCCTTCTGCAGCGGTGTACCCAAACCTTGGCGTAGGAAACCCACACAATGGCTGTGATTCCATCTTCATTTATTTGTGGCACTAAATGAAACAGTAGACAGCTGTGACTCAGAGCGGTTGGCAGCAGCTGCCCCTCGCCCAGATGGTTAGCATCGCCCGCTGGGGCGGGAAGTCCCCCGACCCCCGGGCTGGAAACAGCGCCGACCCGCTAAGGGGCTGTGCGCTAAGATTTGATTTTATTTCACGAGGTCGTTTGATCTCTGATTTGCTTCGTTTTGCTGCACGGAGCCCGAGTTCTGGAGACACACGTGCTTCGGCCTGGTGTCAATCTGGGGCCAAGCACCGCGTGCTCAGAGAAGACCGTCTCACAGTACTGGAGCGGCCACCGGACCCAGAAGCGGCCTCCAAGTCGTGCTCACAAAGCTCGGCTCTGGCCCCATCTCTGCGACCTGCGGCCCTGCCTCCCTGCCCCGGCCCCAGGCGGTCCCGAGGCTCTGCGTGCGCCGGGCTCCGTACACAGGCTCCGGGGAGACCTGCTGCACCTCACAGCCCGCGGGGGCCACTGTCCTCGCGGGGCCCTTGTCGCCTCTGGAAGCCAGGGAACGCCCTGTCCCAGAGACTGAGGGAGACTCACGCTCGGACGGTCAGATCGCGGCCTGAGAACGTCCGTGAGGTATCAGCCTCAGATATCCGAGGAGAAAGAATCTAATAGTTTAATAAGCCAGCAAAGATCACCTTGGAAACAGCCTCCGCTCTTCTTACTCCAGAGCACAGGCGGCAGGGAGCTGGGACACTGACTGTTTCTGTTGATTTGTGGGTTTTCTGCCTCTTGAATTAAGATTTTAAACAAGTACATGATTCTATCAATCTCTACGCGGCCAAATCTCAGAGGGCCCACGGCGATCAGAGGCCGGAGTCCCCTCGCTGGGCTCAGACCTGTGATCCAGGGGCTGGGCTCCGACGTGTGGGTCCCCTGCCACCTGCCACCAGGAGGGGTTATTGGCACTTCACACATTCAGAGGCAAAGCACGTTTATTCCCTTGGCACATGCTCGCTGGCAAGGCCGCGCTCCCGCCTTGGATCCTGCCGCACACGTTTGGCCTGCAGAGTCGCCCTAAATCTTGTTCCCCGCCACATGGGGTCTTGGGTGGCAGGCACAGGGTCTTCTGCGTGGGTTTCTGCCCGGTCTGGCCTCTCTCGGTGGTTCACACAAGCAAGGGCACCTACAAGCAAGACAGACACGGTTACTCAGGGCCAGCGGGGCCGGGAGCGAGTGCCCGCCACCGTGTAGGGGGACACTGCAGACGGCTTGTCGCCGCGTTACAGCAGGAAGAGGGCGGATGTGGGTCCCTGCAGCCCTCCCCGCCCACCCGCTGCCCCTCCCTTGTGCCCAGAGTCTCCCGCCTGTGGGAGGCGCTGTGCTCCTCTGTGGATGCATCGTGGGGGAGTTCAGGGCGGACTGTGCGGAGCAGACGGGGTGTGGCTGAGGGGTCGCTGGGGTGTCACCTGCAAGGTGAATTCTCGTCCCCGGCTCCTCCCTTCCCGCTCTGCCTCCCAGCCGCCGCGGGCAGCTTCGCTCTGCCAGGCCCTCCCGCCACGGCATTCCTGCCTTAGACGCAGCCAGCTCCGAACCAAACCCTCTAAAACCATGAGCCCCATCGAACCTGTCCTCTTAGGTGTGGGTCTCGGGCATCTTGTCCTGGAGATGGGAGCGCTGACCAACCCACCCCACCCTGGCCTGACCCGGCCTGCCTGTCCCTGGGGGAAGGGGCTCCGGGTGGTGGCGTGGTGGACGCAGGCCCTAACACACAAGATCCCAGTGCAGACCCGTTCTGGTGCCGATGGTCAGACCACAGGTCCTGCTCTGCCTCGGGTTCTCGGGAATCGGGGGGCAGGCGGGGGGAGCCCCGGAGGAGGCGGGGCAAAGAAGGGGCTGAAGGACCACCTCCGGGCCGCAGGGAAGAAGGGCAGTGAGGGCATCACGGGAAACACTGCCCAGAGGGGGAGGGGCAGAGAGAAGGCGCAGAGCAGCCTGCTGGCAGCAGGCGCCAGCGGTCGCAAGGCAGGGTGCCCCTTGGCGTCCAGACGCACTGGCCACAGGGAGGCACAGCCAGCCCCCAGCTCCAGGGCCCTCAGCACAGAGGGTCCCACTGCCGCCACGCAGCGTCTCATCACTCGTCTGAAACCGGCACAGAAATTCACCAGTCTGTCTAGACTCCGCTTACCATCAGGCTGCTGGCTTTAGAGAGCCTGGAGGGTAAGCGTCCAGGCGCCGGAGGACAGAGGAGGAACAGGGGCAGGGTGACATACGGAGGACGAGCCAGCTGTACAGCTAAGGTACGTGGGAGGAGGAAGGATTTAAAAGCTGCAGTCTGCGAGGGAGGCACACACCTGCCATCCCAGCGCTGAGTGAGGCTGAGGCAGGAGGATCGCAAGTTCCAACTCAGCCTAGGCAACCTAGCAAGATCCTATTGCAAAATAAAAGATTAAAAAAAAGGGCTGGGGATGTGGCTCAGTAGACCACCCCTGGATTCGATCTTTAGTACCTCAGAAGGAGAAGCCTACAGTTACTGCTTTTAACAGTAAAACTAAATGAAAAACCACACATAAAATATAATTAAAATGGCCCCTGCACGTGAATATGAACCCAAGTCCCTCCTTCCTTCTTCCCTTCTTTCCTCACAATTGTGACAAAGCTTGAGGGAGTCATTTCTTTAAAATCAGAAATGGACACTGGATATTGCCAAATGCCTTTAATGTGACTGTTGGGATATCGTGAGAGTTTCTATTCTTCAGTTTGCTAATTGTAAGAATGCATTGGTTTAGCGGTAGCCCAGCCCTGCACTCTCAGGATAAGCTCTTCTGGTGCTCATAGATCGTATTTCTTACATACTCTTTTCTTTCTCGTAGCATCTTTGTCTGATTTTGGAACCACGGATACTGGCCTCATGGGGTGAGGTGGGACATCCTCTGTCCTCCTCAAGTGTTGGAATAAATGTTGGTTACATGTTTGTGGGACTCACTGGGGAGGCCACTCGGGCCTGGAAAGGGGTGGGGAGGGGAGAGCAAAGAGGAGAGGAGAGGAGGGGGAGGGGCTGGGGACTGAATCCAGGGCCTTTACAATGAGCTGCATTCCCAGCCCTTAGATTTGGGCACAGGGCCATGCTTATTTGCTAAGTTGTCCAGGCTGGACTTGAACTTAGGATCCTCCTGCCTCAGCCTCCCACAGTGCTGCAGTCACAAGTGTGTGCCACTGCTACCAGCTATGTATTTCTTCTTGACAGGGCTTTGCACTTTTGCGGTTTTCATAGTTCGTACTTTCTGGTTAAAGATAACTTGTCAGTATGACAAGCAGTTAGGTGCATTTGCTTCTTTTGTATTCAACCTTAAGTTTGCTTTCCCCGTTATTCTGTTCAATTTTTTTAAATACAGAAGTCATTTTCAAGGACGAAAAGTTAAAACTAGAAAGTTCGGCCATCCCGTACCTACGTCTTCTACCTCACTGGGCAGACTCTTCCATGGCTTTCTGGTTTAGCCCGCGTGTTCTGTTTCTTAAGTGTGAACATGGAGGCAGGAAACCCGAAAAGGGTCAGAAGTGCAGAGAAATGGACGGCCATCGGCTCTGCCTTCTTAATTATTTAGTTTGCTGCTGCAGTTCTATGATTAAATGAAAGTTCACCATTCCCAACAAAAAATAAAATACAGTAACCCGCTTGTTGCGAGAAGCTGCTCACGAAACTCCTTCACCATCGGTAGAAGCAGTGCGGCGTGGTCATCTCTGTCCTCCCACCCCGCCCGGCTGTCTCCTTTCCTTCGCTCTACTGCATTTGGCCACAGGCTTATGGATTTTATCAGTCTTGTTAAAGAGCAGCTTGTTGGTTTAATTCATTCCTTTTTTTTCTTTACCATTTTCCTCTTTTATTTCGCTGCTTTCTGCTCTGGCCTTTACTAGTTACCCTCTCCTGCTTACTCCAGGTTTTAGTTTTGCTGCTCTTGCTCTGGTTTCGGAGGTGGCAGCCCGCTCTGCCTCTCCCTGGAGCTACACAGCTTCACACAGTGCTCTGCGAGGACTGCTCCCTTGGCCAGGTATTTTATGTTGAGTTCACCTGCACTTCAAAGTGCTTCAGTTTCCCTTGGATCCCTTTCTTTCACCCGTGGGTTATTTAGACGTGTGTTGTCTCCGTACGTGGGGCTTTTCCTGAGGTCAGCCTGCTGTTAATTTCAAGTTACAGCCTGTCGTGGCCACAGAACACCTTTGCTCCTTGCAACTGTGAACACAGTTCCAGTAAATGGCTTAACCGCCTAGCTGCCAGCCCCAGTGCCTGAGAGCCTTTCAGAGCGGTTCCGAGCCATCTCCCCCTCTCACGTCTCCTACTACCCTGCCCCTGGCTGGCCTGACAATTTTCTGCTGGATGCCAGACACTGTCCATTGTACCTTGTCTTCCTAGAGATATTTTTATTCTTCTGAATGGCAGACAGGAACTTTAATCAGGGGGCCCTGGTGGGAGCCTCCTGTCTCACAGCTGCCTCGTCCTCCCACTTTGGACGACTCCGGTTGAGTAAGTCCCGTTTGTTGTTGTGCAGATTGTTTCCTTCAGTCTGTTATGAAAAATCTCTAACCCAGTGAAAAGTTGAACTGGCGCAGAGTAAACAACCTCGCCTCCGCCCCCGAGAGCTGTGCTAACGCCTCACCCTCCCTGTTCGACCCCGTCCGTCCACCTCGCCATCTTCCACCCACCCACAGGGAACTTTGTCTTGTACGAGTCTGAGGTTCACTGCAAACACCAGCGCACCCCACTCCTAAATAATTCAGTGTGTGTGTTCCTGGAGTGCAGTTTTTACAGTTGAGTTTTCCAGTCAGATAAATGTCCATAGTGAAATATATACACCTTAAGGAAAGCATCTCACAAGCTCAGAACCTACGGAACCTGAAGTCCTCGCCCGCAGTGAGTGGTTCTGTTTGGGAAGCCTTAGAGTGGGAATGAGGAGAAGCGGGTGGGGGTGGGGGGCCCAGCTGTGCGCGTTAGCATGCGCATCTGTGCGGCCGGGGTGGGCAGTGCCGGAACAACACTGAGACCATCCCTTTCTCAGAGGCCGCAGCCCCAGGGGGGCCAGGCAAACCGTTTTCCACACGGTGGGGCAGTGCAAGGCAGAGTGTGGGGGTTCGGGCTCCACTGTTTCCTCCGAGGCCGCCTGGCTGTCCCCTGGCCAGAGACCTCGCAGCAGGCCACAGGTTAGCGCCCCCCACCCCCAAAATACCGCAGGCAGGACCTGGCCAGGCTGGGACACATGTGCCTCGGCCGCTTCAGGTCCAAGTTGCAGGGACGGTCGGGGACCCCCGGCTTGGAGGTTGGGGCCTGGCTGTGGGCGTGTGAGTACAACTTAGCAGGCAGCACCCTGGGGTCCACCTCTCCCAGGGGCTGCTCCTCCTCACCGAGGTGCATGGGGCTTGGCGAGGTGCGGACGGCCCAGGACAGCGGAGGGAGGAAGGAAGGCGGCTGAGAGCCTTGGCGGCCCCTGGCAGCAGCCCGCTGGGTCCAGCCTGGCCAGCCGAGCTCAGCCTCTCCCTGCCCGGGCTGGACACAACGGATCCTCCAGGCAAGGCATGGCCACCGCTGCCAGCAAGGGGACGGTGAGACCTGGACGGGAGCGGTTCTCAGTGAAGAAAAATTCTGACACAGGGGAAGTAGGGTTCCTCAAACTTGGGCATAAAAAAGAAAACTGCGTAACACGATGGAAAAGGTCCGACCTGGCAAGAATTCTATTCAACCCAGCCACTCCCCTCCTAGGTATCTTTTGCGAACAGTTAAAGACATCATATTCCGGCGAGCCACGCATGTCTATAGCAGCACAACGCACAACAGCGCCATCTTGGAAGTGGCCTATGTGTCCTTCAACAAAAGACAGTTTATGATTGATTCCTGGTCCAATGCTGGGATTATGGGTGTGAGTGCTGCACCCGCCCTGGGGCGGGCAGCCTGCATACAGTATAGGGGAGGGAAAGGCTTGCTCTCTGCTCCCCACTTTTGCTCTTGTTGCTTCAGCCGCCATGAACGCTTGCCCTCTGCCATGTGCCACGCTGCCTTGGAGCCAGCTGAGTATGCACTGAAACCTCCACACACTGTGAGCTGAATAAACCTTTCCTTCCTTCATTCTGGGCGTCGGGTATTTTGTCTCAGCAACGAGAGAAAAGAAACCGAGACAGACAGATAGTAGCAAGCAGGGAGATGGATGCTTTGCAGTGGGAAGGGATCAGAGACGGCGGCAGGAGGGAGGAGGGAGGGGAGGGGGAAGGGGGAACGAAGGTGGGCGAGGCCCGCTCACCAGCTCCCCACGGTCAGTGCCATCGTCAGGCACTGCAGACGTGGACTTAAAAAGATGCATCTACAAATACACTAGCTGGTTTCTGTGCTCGGCGACACCGCCTCCTAGAGGCGCGCGCGACCCGGGAATGCACCTCCTCCCCCGATGGAAATGGAGCAGGCGCGTCCTGCGCATGTACCGCCCCGCGCAGGGGAAGCCCTCGCTGAGCACTGCGAACACGGATTAATAAAGATGAAGAGTTTTGAAGGGAGGGGAAAGATCGGCCCACAGAGGAGAGTGAGCGACAGACAGAGCAGACACCAGAGGCACGGGCCACGCGGATGCCCAGGGTCAGCCCCGGCTCGGCCACCCGCTGCGGGGCCGCCTGCT